TGGGGGTGAAGTCAGCGCTTACTGGTAAAGAGCGTGGGGCAAGGACTAGTTCAGAGTCAGCACTCAATAAGATCTTTGGTAGTATTGTTGCTATTAAACTATTAAACGCACAATCCCAAACTGGCTATGATAAAATCCAGAAAGACCTAGAGTGTTTCCCAGAGACTCAGTCAACCCTCCTTTCAGAACCTGGTGGGATCCTCCTACTAAGCAGAGCCACCTCCTCACACCCAAAACCCCCCAACACCACCATCCTATTGACGGTGCCACATGCTCCATTGTCTGAGCCTCCAGTCTGCATGACAGCAGGCGTCTGGCAGTCAGAGAAGCCAGGCTGAGAACCGTGTTCTCTGTCATGTTCTAGGAGTGTGACTTTGGGCAGATAAGTCGACCTCTGTGAACCCAATTTCATCATCTGCAGTGTGGTTAGTGTCTCTCTGGTGTAGCTATTGGCAGGGTTAAAGACCATTTCTCTCTACTACAGAGGCAGGCATATAATAGGTGTGAAGTAAATTATTATTGTCCCAATGATCATTATTACTGTCACCACTGGTAATTAGGATGGCAGTGCCCATTCCTTCCTCAGGTCCATGAGCCTATTTTCCTCCCCACCCCCGACCCCCACAATGGCATCTTCCTCCAGGGACCTAATATCTCAGAAATCTTTCAAAGTGTGGGGAATGCTGACGACTCCCACCCGGTCCCTGCACTTGTGTCCTGTGTGGCTCTGTGACTCCCTGAGTGACTGTGAAGCCTGCGTGAGACAGGACAGGTGCAGGATCCCATGCACAGTGGTGCCCAGCAGGTGTGCTGCCCTCACCGCACTGGCTTCATAGGGCTGTTAGGACACATTGCCACAAACTGGGTGACTTAAAACCACAGAGATTGATTCTCTCACAGTTCTGGAGTCCAGGTGTCCAAACTCAAAATATCAGCAGAGCCCTGCTCGCTCTGAAGGTCCTAGGGAGAATCCTTTGCCTCTTCCAGCTGCTGGTAGTTGCCGGCAATCCTCAGCATCCCTTGGCTCATGGCAGCATAAGTCCAATCTCTGCCTCCATTGTCACTTGGCCTTCATCCTGTGTGTGTCTCTGTGTACAAATTTCCCTCCTTGTATCAGGACTCCAGGCATTGTATTTAGGGACCGATGTAATCCTGTTCCATTTCGTATTATCTTGATTGCATCTGATAAGACCCTATTCCCAAACTAATGCCCATTGGCAGGTACAGGGGTTAGGACTTGAACATATCTCTTGAGGGACAATATTCAACCCCCAGTACTGGGGTTCATGATCAGGATTATGGGACCACCTCATGTTTCCCAGTGTCCATCTCCAGTCCTCCCCTCGTGAGCTGCTGGATGCTGGTCTCCACCGGGACATCCCAGAGACTCTGGAGCAGTTGTCCTCAAACATTTTGAACAGGGGGCCAGTTCACTGTCCCTCAGACCCTTGGAGGGCTGTTGGAGAGTGCGGCGCACATTCCACACATGCGCACTGTGAGCCCGGAATGAGTCAGCTGCTAAGCAGGACAGGCAGTGGTGGCAAAAACACCCGGCAGGCAGGATAAATGTCCTCAGCGGGTGGCCTGTGGCCTGAGGGCCATAGTAGAGGACCCCTGCTCTGGAGCATCCAGCATGTGAATCTGTCCTCACTGTGCCCATGCCACCCTTGCCCCCAGCACCCGACAGAAATGGAAACATCTCAACACAGTCTTCTGCAAACATCTTCACAGCAGCTATATTCATAATTGCAAAAATGAAAGCAAATATTCATGAACAAAAACTAGTAGGTAAAGGAACGGTGATATGCTCATACTGTGGGATCTGCTCAGTGATAACAGGGACTACAATGCTGACACAAGAAACCACATAGATGAACCCCAAAAAGTACCATGCTAAGTGAAAATAAAATGAGACACAAGAATACATGCCATAGAATGCCAAATATATAATGTTTAAAGACACGGAAAAGTAATGTCTAGTGATAAGAATCAGAAAGTGTTGGTTCTCAGGGTTGGGGATTGACTGGGCATGGGAACCAGGATCTTTCTGCTGTGATGGGAAATTTCCATTTCCTTGATTGGGGTCCTGATTGGGGAACACAGGTGTACAGCTTTGGCAAAACTCATGGAATCACATGCTTAAGATTTGTGTATTTGTAGCGGGTGAATTTTGCCATAATTAAAAAAACAAATGATACTTTTCATGTTCAAGAAAAAGATAAACAAACAACTTTCAATTAAAAGAGTTAATAACTGGGTGACAACAAACAAATAAATGAAGAACTGCCAAAAAATTTGAGGAGATGTGCCCATCCTTCATCTACTCAACTGCACCTTTCTTCTCCCTCAGACTCTGGGCCATTTACTATCACCTCTCTAGCAAATATCAAGACCATTCAGGAATACTATTTCCTGCTAACTTATGGCCAAAGGGGGCCAGGCTTGCAGGTTACGTGACTCAATGTTAGATGAGAGCAGAGACTCAGAATCAGGTGGGGTTTAAACCCCAGCCCTGCCCGGAGTAGCTGAGTGGCCCTGAGACAGCCCCAGTGAGGTTTCCATACATGTAAACCTGGTGGAATGATCAGGTCAGGAGAGTGAGTATACCCATCACTGAAACTGCATCAGATCAATCGGGTTCAATATTTATGTAACAAAGTTGTGATTTGTTTTCCAGTTGTCCCGAACCCCCAGTTTGAAGATCACATAACCTGAGTTTGCCCTGAGCATGCAACCACAGGCGGAACCTAAGTGCTTGGGCCCAGGAGTGGGGACTGAATTCAGATGTGCACAACACATGGAAGGATCCAGGTTCCAATCAGACTGTGCCCTGGCGTCACCTCCATGTCAGGATCCAGTCACGGCTCATTACCCTGTCACTATAAAACCTGTCCTAACCCCTGCTCAGGGATACAGATTTGTGCCTGACTCCTGTCTCCTTGTTCGGCTGCTGGAAATAAACTTTTCTTGCTGCAAAAACCTGGTGCTTCCCTGTTTGTCTTTACATTGTGCATGGGGAGAAGGACCCAGATCTGTTTGTTAACATCAACTCACCTATTATCACTTCTTTTTAGTAAGAACATTTATAATCCTCTCCTCTACCTATCTTTAAATATACATTATTCTCTCATTTGAGAGAGTGTGCATCAAACTAAAGGACATTATGTTAAGTGAAATAAGCCAAGCACAGAGAGAGAGAAATACATTATGACCACACTTACATGTTGAATCTATAACACCCTATCTCACAGAAGTAGAAAGTGGAATAGTGGGTATGAGAAGCTGGGAGGCAGGGCCGAGCAGGACAGAGAAAGGGAAGACAGAGGTCAGTGGGCAAAAGGTTTCAGTTTCACAGGAGGAAGAAGCTCTGGGGTTCTGCTGGGCAGCGTGGGGCTGTGGAGGGCTTGGACTCTGCAGGAATGAGCCTCTGATGTCTCCTTTGCCAGGAGGGGCGGGATCCTCCACCAGGGCCCAGTCTCCACAGTTTCTCACTTGTGGATCTTGATCTCCGAGTACTCTTTGCCTGTGGCCTCGTGTCCTGCAGTGTCCTGAGGCTTCCTCTTCTGGAAGCTGAGGGTTGCATACTGCACCTCTTGTTCCTGCCCTGAGAAGGTGGTGGCCATGACTCCAAGAACCTGGTCTTGGTGTCTGTCATCTGCCTGCGGTTCAATCAGGGACA